TTCACCCGAACACTGACAAATACATAGCTGAATCAGTCTGGCTCACCTGTGTGTTAATATTGTTAAAACCGGGATTAGATTTATAAAAACATGTTTAGTGTTTAGACTTGTAAGTTGCTGCATGTATTGATCTCACTTATAATAGCTGTATCCCATGTTATAAGATAATATTTAAGTGTTTGCTCTATAACTATAAAAGTGTTTTCTCTGAAACTGTAAACTTCCAGTCAAGAGAGAAGCACTACCAAGTGTGAAATACTAGTTTGCCACAGGAGGTATTATCTCCTCCTGCCCAACAGAAAAAACGGCTCATATACATCAGACAAACCATTGTGGAACATCAGAGGACAAAAGACTTTGTTATTGGCCCTCATCCCCCCCAATGAAGAGAAAACGTGCACATGAACTCGTCCCATCACCTTGAACTCTGGGGGGAAGGCAATAAAAAAATCCCTGACAAGAAGAAGAAACTATATCTTAATGCTGCTTGGACTCTGGGAGACAAGGATGACTAAGCATAAACAAAAGATCCCCACTGCTTGGCCTGGGTTAGCCCTAAAAGACATATAGAGCTTGATTATCATAGAAGCTTCTATTACCTTTTGAAACTTTTTTCAGAGTGGTAGCTGTGTTAGTCTGTATCAGCAAAAAGAACGAGGAGTACTTGTGGCACCTTAGAGACTAACAAATTTATTTGGGCATAAGCTTTCGTGGGCTAAAATCCACTTCATCCGATTAAATGGGTTTTAGCCCATGAAAGCTTATGCCCAAATAAATTTGTTAGTCTCCAAGGTGCCACAAGTACTCCTCGTTCTTTTGAGACTTAAGACTTTAACTCATTGTGTGTGTATGTTTACCTGCTTTAAACCTTTTAAATAACTCTAATTTCTTTTTCTTAGTTCATAAATCTTTAGATAGTTTATTATAGGATTAGCTAAAAGTGTTGTCTTTGGTGAGACATCTAGGGTGCAAATGAGCTGAGGCAGTGGTTCTAAACCTATTTACCATTGTGGGCTGCATATGCAGCTCTCTCTGTGTTATGTGGGCTGCATCCACACAATATATATACACTACCTGTATGGCCCTGAGGATGTCACATGGGCTGCAGCTGTGTGCTGATTGGGCCGTAAGCAGCCCATGGGCTGAGAACCACTGACCTGGGGTAAGTGACTGGTCCTTTGGAACTGGGAGTAACCTGAATATTGTTGTGATTTTTGGTGAGGGGACCAAAAGGCAGGTTTGCCTAAGTGGCAAGATAGACCGGAGCACCCAAGGGGACTGTCTGAGACTCCATGTTAAGGCTGTTTTAGTGCTTGAGAAGTCCATACCTGATGCTTGGTTGGTGAAATCGAAGTATAAAACTGACAACCAGTTTGGGGTTTGTGCCCTGGTTTGTAACAGTCTGCCCTGTGGTTGGCACTCACTGTCATGAGCCACTCCAGACAGCTTGACATATCCATTCAAATTTGAGAAGTGTTCAATGTACTCAACGCATTACACTGACAGATTCGGCAGAAGTGGTGGGTCTGATTCTGTAAGGTGTTGAGCACCCTGAACTCCCAGTGAATTCAGGGACTGCGGATCTGGTAGGATTGGGCTCGGCATTTCTCATGCTGGAAGGAGGCGTCATCAAAATTTCTACAGACCATCTTTATCAGACAGAAGACTGGTTAGTCTGACTTTATCTCCATCCCCAGAGTAATTTGTTTCTGAGCTCTGAAAATGTAGATGCCATTATAAAATTTTAACGAGAGGGTGTTTCATGGTAAATCTAAAAAGCAAGAGCTTCTGCTTTCAGAAAATAAGCATCTGACTAAGAGCCTTATATATAATACAGCAGGATACAGAGAGGTAAGAAAAAGTTAGAGCAGCCAGCCTGCCACCCTTAAAACCTGGCTTAGCAGTAGGACTGGACATGAAAGCAGCCAACTATTGATACCTTTAACATTAATTTATTCAAAACACTCATCTCCCTGTAGATACATATAAAAAATTGAAAGAAAAACATAGGAAATCAAACACCACAGTGAGAAATTTGGAGAAACAAATAGAGCTATAAAAGCACTTCAGAAGCAGGAATGCAAAAAGGAATGCAACTTGGAAAAAAAAACCCACCCCAATTGCTGCAACACGAAAGCGAAAGAAGAGGAGGTAGTGGTGGCAGTGGCAGCAGTGAGAGGGAAAACAAAAACCACCACTTAAAAAAAAAACAAATTCATAACATCAGCACAGCAGGAGGCAGAAAGAAATATTTAAACCAGCAATCTTGAAAACATAACCTAGATTGCATGGTGATTGACACCCTCTGTTTGTGACAGAGAAACAGATTCATTCTGCAAGGTTCTTTCCACTACTGCCCTCGAGAATAATCCCACCGTTTCCATTAAGTTCTGATTCAGTACAGGAGCAGCTCAGAACGGACTGTCTTCATCAAACTTTAAACAAGCAGAGAAACACACAAACAGTACTGCACATTTCCCAAGGCCAGTGGAAGCTGAGAAGGGGCCCATTTCAGTAAATCAACAGCACCGTATAAATTTTTTGTGATAATCATAATAATATATATGGCCCAGACAATCCCCTCCAGAAGAGAAGCCTAGAAGGTGGCCACAGAGGCAAGAAAACTGTATGAAGTTCCCCTCAGAGTCTCATGTACATTGTCCATTTGAAGAGGAGAGAAGAAGTTTTGAGGTGGCTCCCTACAGCCACAGACTGACTGCAGGAACTGTGCTGCCATCAGACGAGTCCCCTGTGGCCGCACGTCTATCTTAGGTACTTACATGGAAGTCATTACCACAGTAACTGAGTACCTCTTTAATGCGTTTATCCTCCCAACACCCCTCTGAGGTAGGGAAGTTCTATTACCTCATTTTACAGATGGAGAACTGGGATACAGAAAGACTAAGCGATTTGGTTGAGTTTACACAGGAAGTTTGTGGCAAAGCAAGGAATAATACCTAGGTCTCCCGAGTCCCAGGTTGGTATCCTAACAACTGGACCATCCTTCTTCTTTAAGCAACCCTGGAAAGGATCCAGGGGGAGCTAATGCAACTCTGCGAGTATGTGTACACCAGAGCTGGAGGTGTAAATTTCCAGCTCAGATGGTTCTAGCTGTGCTACCTCTGATCTCGCTAGCACGCTAAAACGGACACGCGGCTGCGGCAGCGCGAAGAACTAGCGACCTGACTACATAGCTATGCTCTCAGACGGGATCATACTTGGGCGGGCTAGCCCGTCCCGCCACTGTGGCTACATTTCTATTTGTAGCATGCCAGCTTGATCAGAAATTACACCTAAAGCTCCTGTGTAGACATACTCTAAAACGGATCAAGTCGTGGTTGTATTTCTTTGGGGAAAATAGAGTGGGATCAGCTGAGGCTGGAGCTGCCAGTGTGAGCCAAACAGCAGCAAGACCAGGGGCCGTTCACTTAGTTAAAATGACTGACCCCTTCAGCAAAGCCTGCAGTGACTCATTACTCAGGCATGCTGCAGCAGCCTATCCCTGGGCAGGACTGGGGTCAGATGACCTTCAGGCAAATGTATTTCACTCTCACTGCCAGAGCCAGAAGTTAGTATGTGAAACAGCACCACTCAGCTAGGAACCCTCCAGCTGCCACGTGGTGTTACAGACTCCTTAGGCTTCCAGCCTGCCCTCGATCCTGTTGCCCCAGCCTTGCTCGAGCCTTGTTCCAGTGCACATCAGCCTTGTCTGTATCTTATTCTTGCCCTGCTCCAACCCTGTTCCTGACTTGCTTCAGCCCTGCACCTGCCTCCTGACCCCAGACCCTTGGACTGATACCAACCTGACCTTTGACCTGCATCCGGACTCCAACTACCATCCTGATTTGGCTTCTCTACGGATTCTGACCCCAGTTCTGACCCACAGCCTGACTTCGGGCCCTGATTTCAGCACCACTCTCAGCCTGGTCCTGACTCTATGTCCAGCTTTGGCTCTTGGTACCTGTTCTCAACCACCGCTCTAACCACCAGGGCTGACTGCCTAGAACCCAGAGCCTGATAGCCAGAAATGGCCAAGCACCTGCTTTGGCCTTCCCTCCCACCCCACCCTCCAAACGGAAGCTCAGCAGGGTACTGGGGAAGCGACAATAACATGGGGGAGGCATTCTCCCTTCTGGGCGGGCCTGGACAGAGCCCATCTGCAAGAGGGAACATTCTGACCCAATACTAAGGTTGGGGTTCAAACCAACAATCAATTTAGGTACTCGGACATCCCCTTATCACCACAGTTAGCTATCAAGATCAGCTAACTGCAAATCTTATTTAGTTATATCTAAGGAGAATGGCAGGTTTTTAAGTGTCACCAATGTAATTCGTCTATCTCAAGGACCATGTTTTGCCTTTATTGTCCTCAAAACCAGTCACTATTTATAACACTTATCTGGAGATAGTGCTAGGCAAGGTAATACATTTAACTTCACAAGTTAAGGGCAACTGCATAACTCAGACAAATGGTGCAGACAAACTAACCCTAATAAATATTTATATACTACCAGAGGGGGTATCTGAATAGCCAGTAAAGGTACAGTATAATTTTTTATACATAGTGTACTTATAAGTTGGTCATGCTATTAGCATTCAGCACCAAAAAAAATTGTGATTTACTGAGGATTTTTGCTTCCTACTGTTACTGAATGTGCATGCCTTCCCAAAAATGTATCCCTTTCCTGAGGTAACCTATCATGCAATTATAAACCTTGAAGATTTATCTTTGACCAAGTCTGCAGCCAACAATTCCAAGAGTCTATGTTTCTAATATACGTGTAGCAAATGAGAAGCTTTTAATTCTAAACAATCAGATGGGGGAATCAGATTCTGAAATGGCATACAATTTGTGCATAACCTGGAGTCACTTGCTTTCTTTTTACCTCCACAATCCCATCTTTTATTCATCTTCACATTTAAAATTGCATGGGGATAGTTTCTACTTTAAAGAGGTATTTAGGAGAATGGAGGAGAGTGGTTTCTCAGATTATTTTTACCTGAGCTCTGAGTGCAGCGTCCTTCTTAATCCATTTTATCACTGTTTCGTACACCAGCTCTTCTGCTTTGGTGTTCAGGCTGTCATTGGACATGTAGGAAATGAAGTCGTCTTTTGAGATATTAAGGATCTCCTCTTGATTCGCCACCTCTGGGAAAATTTGTAGGGCATATGCTTTGGCCATGTTGTATAGTTCACTGCACTGCATAGCTTCAGCCATGGCTAATATTCCTAAGCAGTTGCTGGCAGTCAATTGTTTTTCTAAAAGGAGCAAATAAAATATAAATGAATGAATAAAAATGGCATTATTTCATTGACAAATAGATGCTATGAACATAAATAACTCTGGTTCACTTTGAATAGCACCCAGCTTATTGCAATGAGTCACCATTAAAAGAAAAAGGTCTACCAAATGCAGTTCCTTTAGATCTGCATTTTAAATCTTTAACTGGGTGGAAGATATTTTCTGGGCTTGTTTTTCGGGGTGTGGTCTAGTGGTGTGGTTGGGAGAAACTGCTGACATAACCTTATAATTAAGGACCTCTTCTCTAGTAGGACTCAAGTAGTGAGACCACTGCTAATTCGAATGCCTACCATGTTCCTTTAAGAAACAGCAAAGAAGTAAACCCTAGTGCAGGTGCTTTAAGAATAAACTCAAACGGCTCTGAGGACATTTTTGAGGATGCTACAGTTGCTTCATGATAATTTATGTCCTGCTTAGCTACTAAGCCACTTCAAATAATAATAAAAAAAATTCCCCACAGGAACTTTGTTACTGTAGAATGTGATGACATTCCTTATGCAAAACACAGATTATACTAATGGTTTCTGTTAAATGTTGTGTAGTGGTGTTTCAAAGCAAATCATGCACAGAGGAGACAGCATTATCTGCTTCCTGGCAAACAAGTAACTACACAGTGTGTAGTAGTATGTTAAGGATGAGCTATGCTGTACACTTTGCTGTCCTTTTTGCTTTTCAGCTATTCTGAAAAAAAAAAAAATCACCAATAGGAAATTTGTGCAGGAGAGGCTAACAGGTTATTGGGTCTCAGCTTTACTAGCCAAGGCATTAGCAGAATACATTTTATTAAGATTCAAGGCACAAAGCCTAAAAAAGTATGTCTACACTGCAAAGAGAAACCCATGGCACCAAGGTCATGGCTTGCGGGGCTCAGGCTGTGGGACTAAAAATAGCACTGTAGATGTTCCTGCTTAGGCTGGATCCTGGGCTCCAAGACTCTGACCCCTTGCTGGGTTTCAGAAAATATTAAAAATATTCCCCAAATGCAGCACTCTTGTTCTGGAATAGTGTGCGCATACATGGAGTTAATCAGCAATAGCTTCTCAGCATTAAACTCACACCCTGCCTTGCTTTGGATTAACTTTAATGGGTAGACAAGCCCACATATACACACAAACCTGTTTAAAACTAGGTGGATAAAATAAGCAGGCGATAGAAATCTAAATTCTTATCACCACCAATATTCGGAAAACTAAAGCCAAAAAGCAAATCTGACACCGGAGTCACATCAATCTTGTAATTTTTAAAAGAAATGCCCCAGCCAGACCACCAGGGCATAGCCCTACACACATCTTTAATTCTGCACAATGGAAAACATCTGGTGGAATAAGCCTTTACTCATACGAGAGCAGATAGCCTACTTCAACACCTTTGCAAGTGGGGTTTTTGAGTTCTCAGATTTCTGTTTATCGGGTAACAGGCTTGGGTATGGGACAACTGCACTGGCTGCAGCTGATCTTCTCTGAATGGGGGATGATGATCAAATATCTGTGCTGACTTTTCTAGATCTGATCTTGGTATTTTACCTATCTTTAATCCCTTGTAGATGTAGACAGATGTTTCTGAGTGGCCCAGTCTTTCCTTTTTTAGAAGGACCAGAGGGTAGTGTTGGACAATTGCTGTTCTTCCCTGAGAAACCTTTTTGTGGCATGCCAAGGGCTCTATATTATTATCCTTTCCCACATGTACACAAGGCCATCAAGAAGGTTTGTGAAGAGGTGCGGGCTGCGATATATTCAACAGGTTGATGACACTTCATCAATTCTACTGGCTGGTACAGTGGAACAAATGACTCGGTGCCTTTCTGAGATAAGAGCTCGGATGTAGGCTAGCCGGATGCAGTTCAACTGGGGTAAGACTGAAATAATGTTAGTGGGGGAAGCAGTTGGGGGATAATAATGTTGGGGGAAGCAGTTGGCAAAAATTATCTCAGCACCTTTAATTGAAAGGGTTCACCAACTACTTGCATCTGTAGTTCGTCATATAGGTGTCTGATTAGATCTTGAAATACTTCTGGATGCCTAGGCAACAAAGAAAGGCTGGAGAACACTTTGCTCCATCTATGATTGAATAAGAGAGTGCTCCATTTTCCCTCTCATGCAGACCTTGCTACAATTATCCATGCCTTTGTCATCTCAAGGCTAGACTTGAATTGCACTCCACATGGGGCTCCACCCCTAGATTATTCAATTGTTAAGTAGAGAGCACATTACACCAGTGCTCCAGGATAGCTGCCAACAGATTTCTGGGTGTAATGTAATGATGTCAGTTTTAATCTACGAATTCCTAAATGGTCTGAGACCTGGTTAAATACAAGATCACCTCTCTAACCTTTGCCAGACTGTTGCAACGGAGATCGACGGAGGCACTTGAGCTGGCAGGGCATTCTCTACTTATGCTTTGACTTTGGAATTCATTCCCTATGTTGATCTGCCAGAGTCTGTATTTGTTAACCTTCCAGGCAGGCTGCAAAGCCCATCTTTTATCCCAAGTATCTGGGGATGGAGTGGATGCCTGAGCAGGGATATAGGCAGAGATTGGTAGTATGCATGAAAGATTACTTGGCAGAACTGTGGTACCAATGTAACAGGAGTTCAATAATTAGTGCGAGATCCCATCTGTTTGTGTTGAATATTGTCTTTTTAATTTAGGGAGGATGGAGCGTATGAGCTAGGCATTACTAAAATCAGCACAAACACACCTCTCCGTTACAGGCTGTGATCCATTTAGTTAATGGGAGTCCATCCTTGCTTGTTCAAACAAGCCTCTAGTGGTATATTGTCTGGTCATATCTATAAGCTTCTGGATGTAATTTATCCTCCAAAAGATCACAAGGCCATTGTGATGGTCTCACTTTCCCATTGTCAAACTGTCTAGTGCCGCAGTTTCCTCACTGGCTGGGTGGTCTGGTTTTCCAGCTGACCCCAAAATTCCCCATCTGGAGTAAATGAAAACAATCCAGAACACTTTCTTGGGCAGGGTCTGGGTGGACCTCTCTTCATGCAGGGCTCCCAAATGCTTCCCTCACTGCTTCCTCTTAGGCTTCTTTTGGAAACTTGTTCTTCTCTCAGAAAAAAATCAGAGATTCTGCTCTTCCCTAGTTGCCTCCTTGACAGTCAGACCCCCAGCAGGTCCCACCATCTCTCTCGGACTGAGGAAAGGAGGCTCTTATATACTCAACATGCTTTGTGACCAGCCTACTGTTCCAGACTGTACTGTAAGTCCCAGAATCCCTCTGTTTAGTTCACTCCTGTGACAGCAGCCCCCTCCTCACAGACCCCAACTGAGATACTGATATATCTCCTGAATTCTGGTTTGGTTCACATGCCCCAAACCTTTTTCTTCCCTGGGTGCACAGACTAACCAAATTGGGGTGGCTTTTAGGAGTTGTTTTTAATCCAGTTTCCTCTGCAACACTGAAACAAACTAGAAACCCATCCTTTCTCTTTGTTCATGCACCAGAATGCTTGTTCATGCACCAGGCACTGTAAGAAAAATCTTTAATCCTTGTTATCATCAACCACTAGCAAACACAGCACAGGAAATATACCCTGTGCTTGAAGCCATTATGTCCAAAAGGAAGGGCCATTTTCCAATTCTGCAGGTTCAGTTGGCTTCTACTGGGGGATAATTACAAATCCCAGGTCATTGCCCAAAACAAAATACTTTTCCTAAACATTTATATGGCAAAGGCTCCGCTATATCTGAAGCACAATTCAGTCAAAGCTATAAATTCATTCTCCAAATGAACTGTATGAATTCTCCAAATGAAAATCTAAAACCCATATATCACTAAACTTATAGCCAACTCTCCTAGTTCAAACCATAATATGGTTAACTGAATTAAAATATTAAATATTGGAAAAGGGAACTCTCTCATTGATTTAGTGAAATAAATGTATTTTGTTTTTCTGGCTGAATCTTTCTTTAGTGACAATGTACTTAAATACATCTAGTGATCATTGAAAGCTGTAAGATATATTCATTTAAAAAGGTACTGGAGGGAAGCTACAGAAAAGCAATGTCAGTGCAAGAACCTATACTCAAGGTTCACAACCAACAAACTGGGACTGAGAGAGACAGTTTTCAACCTACCATAGCACACTCATTTTTAAACAAGAATTTCACATTTTTAAACAAGTGACAACGAAATTTATTGAAAGAGGGAGCTTGAAATAATGGCCTGATTCATTACTGCATCACTCCAGTTTTACACTTGTGTAGCCCCATTGCAGTCAGTTAGGGCAGCATAGCACTGGGCAGTAACAGTGATGAACCACACCCAAGGTTGGATTTTGATTTTTGAACATGTATAACATTTTCTAAATGCTCATCTTCAAGACTCTGCATTTCTGATGTCAATTTACAGTGACAAACTCTTGACATGACTCCAGGTTCATGTGGGACAGAGATAAATTTTGGTTCCAAAGGGAATGACATGTCTTGCAATGAGGAAGAGTTAAGAGATATGTTTTAGGGAAGGGGAGAACAAGGGCATGAAAAAAAGTCTTGATATGGTGTGTACTGAATGCAACACAACATCTGGGTCAACCTTTATATTAATAAGATTCCGTTTATAAATGGTTTATACAGGGTTAACAAAACATTAATAGATCTTATAAGCATGTCACAGAAATGAGTACCATGTGTTATAGGTAGTTATGGGCATACCAGTACAAGGTGTTATTGATGGTTATAAGGCATGGTTATCGGTAATCTATCTTCCTGTTGAGACTCTATATCAACATATAACAATTGACAATAATATCTATTAATCATTTATTAACAGAACCTTAATATAAAAGTGTGACCATTCTACCTGTTGTGGTTAAGATGGATCTCATTTATAAGGCTTTGGAGAGTGCCAGGACTATTACTTCAGTGGCCACAAGGATCTTTCACCTGACCCTTAGAATCTGTTTTTCAGGGGTGCAGGAAAATGGCCGACTCTGACCCTTAATGGGGAGTCCATATTCATCTACTGTTATAACAAACCTAGTCTGGCATAGCTTCTATAATCTACTGTAATGACCATATGAGTGGGACATGCATATGCATTTTAGAACTCAGTGTCTGCATAAAGTGCAACCTTTGTCAAATTAAATGGGATGCTGATACCAAGAACAAAAAAATCTATCCAAAATGTGAATGCAGCTGGATTTTTTTTTCAGCTGCACAAACAACTTTACTGACTGTAAATCAGTTTAGTGCTGCAGCAATGGGAACATTTTACGTTCAGATCTCAGTCCAAACAAATGAAGTTCTATTGTGTTTCAAATAACATTTAATCGTGAATTTCCTAGCAGAACTACGAAATTAAAAAAAAAAAAAAAACATCCTAAGGCCTATAAACTCACAAGATGGAACGGGGATGACACTTACCTAGAAATGACACACAGACTTTACAGAAAGTATGAAACTGGAACTTGCTGGCAGCCTCCAGAAGAGTTTTTGCGTTGGCAGAATCTATGATCAAAGAACCTGTATAAACAAACTCCAGTAGTAATTCCAGGACTTCTGCAGTGAGGTTTGACATGGCCAATTCCAGCTTCTCCCCGCCTCTGCTACTGTCTCGTGGTGACCTGGTAACAGCAGACAATGACATTCTTACAGGACATTATGCCATCCCCCTTTTGTTGTTGTTTACCAATTAGCGAGGGCTAGAAAATTGATTCATTAACTTTCTCCATATTTTTAAGGAATTGAAGAGTATTGTATTTTAAAATAACTGAACTTAAAGACTTTAACTGGATCTGAAAGAGAAGAGTCTTAAAGCGAGTTTTACAAAAAAAATCAGTTTATTGCTACTCTGCATTTTCATGCAAAAGAAGGTTGCAAAAAAAAAAAAGAAAAGAAAGGAAGAAAGAAAGAAAGAAAGAAAGAAAAAGAAAAGAATGAGCCAACATTAATGAGAATGAGGACCAGGATTAGCTTTCAAAGGGAAACAATACATTTTAACATTCAGAGTTAACATCTCATCTTTTGTGCATAATAGGACATAGTAAGGCAAAAACATTCTAAATTTCAAGAGAAAAGGTCACCTAGTTTTTCAAGAGCATATCCCCATCCAGTACATGGAATAATATTTTAAATGTCATGTGCATTTTGAGATCTATTTAAGGACCTTTTCTATCAGCCATAATAATAGTAAGATTTTAAAAACTGTTGGGTTTTTTTTTTTGGCTTGATTCCTCAATCAATGTTAATGTAACAATATATATGATGTTTTTGTTCTAAAAATATATTGTTCCCTTATAGGTACTAAAAAAGGAAGCCCCTCATGGCATTGCTTTGAAAACTGAATACAAGACAAGATAGACAGACAAAATGGTTAGAGCAAAGAAGAGAGGGGGGTGGGAAAACAATAACCAGCTCTGCCACAGGAAGCCAGCAGCCATCCTCTAGGAAGTTTCATGACTGTGGCCTACGATTTTTCCTGCATAAAGTGCTAAACAATTTGGGGATCAAAATATCTCCTGCATTTGAAGTGTGCATTAGTGCTTGTGAAACTATGGGACAAAAAGTAATAGTAATATATTAAAATAAGGGCCCAGTTCCTAATGCATGGTTGGCTGGTGTAGCTGCAACACTAAGGACAGGTAACACCTGAAAGACAAAAATGATAATAAATTTGGTAACGTCAAGAATGGGGGGAAAATCTGTTAAAGTAAGAAAATAAACTCCTTTAGTGGTTAGAGCCATTCAGCATCTTCTTACAGAAACATTAATTTCTCCTAATGACCAGACAATCCAAGTCTGCTCATTCCATCACTGCTACAGTTCTCGTGAAAACCACCGCACGACCAGCACCAATGTGCATCATAGAGACCACCAAACTCTTCATAATAAATGGCCACTTTACTATCCACTGACCAGGGCCAGGTTTAAATACAAGCAAGAATCACTTCTAGCAACTGCTTGGGAACCTACATGTTCAAGGTTCACAATGCTGTGAAGAAGCTGATGGTCAGATATCCCCTTCTAGCCCTGGAACCAGAGGACAAAGTATACAAGGCCAGATTTTCTTTCCCTTGTAGAAATTCATACTCTGATTCTGCCCCTCTCCCCACAAACACACATACAAAAATCCACAAAGCAACTTGGGGGATCTGTAAATTTGAGACATGCCCTGTCACTTTTTTTAATACCTCTGAGTTAGACAATGGTTTTAGGTAGTAGAACAAGCCATACTTAGGCCCTGACCCTACAAAAGCTTATGTATGTGAATGGTCCCATTGTGGTACTGATAGTGAGTAAAATTAAGCGCATGCATAAGTCTTTGCAGGATTGGAGTCTTAAATTCACTTCATATTTCTATTTAAGGTACTTATAGGCCTCAATTACCACAAATATTCAGCACCTCACAATGGGGTGATTGTAGACCTTTTTATCCTCATAACACCCTGGCCAGGAAGCGAAGTACTGTTATTCTCATTTTACAGATGGGGAACTGAACTACAGAGGGTATGTCTACACAGCATTTTGGATCATGCCTCCCAGATCAGGTCAACAGACTTGGGCTAACAGGGCTTGTGCTAACCCTCTAAAAATAGCTGTAGAGACAGCACTTTGAAGATGCAGCTCAGGCTGGAGCTCAGGCTCTGAACCCCACCCCTCTGCCTAGGCTTCAGAGCCTGAGCTCCAGCCTGAACTGCAACTTGGAAAGCACAGCTATTTTTAGAGCACTAGTGCAAGCCCTGCTGGCCTGTCTGTGAGGCTCACTCCAAAATACTGTGTAGATATGCCCAGAGAAACTAAATGACTTGCCCAAGGTCATGCAGGAAATCTGTGTCAGTGCAGGAAATTAAACCCACATCTCCCAAGTCCGTGGCTAGTGCCCTAAACATTGGGTCATCCCTTTGTGTAGACATAGCCTGTGGGTGATGCCATATTCCAAAAGCAGATGCATAAGCATGTACGTTAAGCAGGTTGCTTATACTGCCCAACATGCACCCATTGTACTAAACCCTGACTTTTTAACAGGCGTGCTGTATGCTCTCAAAACTGTCATGCATGTAAGCAGTATTTTGCTCAGGCTACAATTCCTCTTGGGATGAGATAGAGAAGTAAAGATTGGTTGGGCCCTGAGAGGAAGCCCATAATACAGTCTCTCTCTCTCTCACAATCCCCTGTACCTAATCTCTAAGTCTGTATAGATAGGGAACCTACCTAATGGTAGAGCAAGAGAACCTTTGACCACAAGGTACTTCGGATGCCATGCATCAAAGTGATTCCATGGTATGTGAAGTACCTTGAGGTAAAAAGTTCTCTTGCTCTACCATACAGTTTGTCATGAGTTCATCAGGCAGGTCTGGTTAATGTTATTCAATGTTTGGGCATAGATGCTCACATTTTTATAGGTATTTTGGTACTGGTGTGCTGAGCAGCACAACATCTAACTGATTTAGGAGACTAAATTTCATTTTCCAAAAGGGATTTAGGCATTCTGATGGAATTCAGACTCCTAAGTGCCTAAATCCCTTTTGGAAAATGAGATTTAGGACCCTAAATCAGTTAGGCATTACTGTACCTAAATACCTTTAACAATCTGGGCCAGAGCACTCACTAATTTAAATGGGATTTTATGGCATTTGGCAATGGCAGGATTGAGTCCTTGTACTATAGGCAGGCCTGTTGCAAGCAAATAATTGTCTACGGTATTAATACCATTTGTGCTGGCAAATGTTGTGGGGGTGAGTGCGTGCACTGACATGGTAACAAAGCTCTTCGGGTGACTAATCATGTGCAGTTTCCGACTGTGACTGCAGCAGTGAAGAGGCCAGACAGTGCAAAACCAGTAGCCTGTCACTGACATTAGAATAAAGAAAATACCAATTTAAGCAACGACTCCAGCCTGTCAGTCTTTAGAATAATTAAGTTATAATCTCTTTTCCTTTGTAATACACCAAGCAATAAATGGCTGCTGCAATTGATTAAATACCAAAACAAAGCTAAGGTGTTCAATCACAAAAGCCACTTATGGCAAGTATAATACAAAGCAATAGAGATTATTCATATTACTCAACCAGCCAGAAATGGAAACTGAGTTGTGTCAGTTTCTGCCTCTGATGCTTTAAAAGTAGCATGTTGTGGTGCTTGGGCAACAGGGTCACAGCTTAGAGCAGTGGTGGGCAACCTGTGGCCTGCACATGGCCCGTCAGGGTAATCCACTGGCGGGCTGTGAGACAGTTTGTTTACATTGACCGCCCGCAGCTCCCAGTGGCAGGGGGCCGTGCCTGTGGACAGTCAACGTAAACAAAATGTCTCGTGGCCCGCCAGTGGATTACCCTGACGGGCCGCAGATTGCCCACCACTGGTTTAGAGGCATCACTTACTTGGGATGCATACTGAAAACAGGCCTGGTTCAGCCAACTAAGTAAAATAACAAGCCTGCATGGCTTCCATGCTGATGACCTGGGCTCTGTAGATTTACTCAGCCTGGAAACCAGATGGATTATTGTCTAAAGCAAGTCCTAAGGGATCAACAGTGAGTTTTCAAAGAAACAGAGAAAGAGAAACGTGTGTGGAAACAGCCTTTATGACTGGAGACATCACAGAGAGTATTAGTGTGGTTTGAAACAGGATTCTGGGGTCTGATTTAGTGAAATGGTTTTATAATAGAATTTTTCCTACGTATTTCCTTTCTAACTCTGATGTATTGTATAATGATATTCTTAAAGTGGTTCCCGTGTTTCTTATTTTATATGCAGCAGGATATAAAGATCCTCTATGCACCTAGCAGATTTCGTAAATGTGGGCTATATTCTCCTCTCGGTTATATTGGTGCAACCCCAGTGAAGTCAGGAAGTTGCACAAGTATAACCAAGAGGAGAATTTAGCCCTGCTGTAAGTGCTTACACAGTTGACCAAGTGAAAAAACGTATGTGTATATATGTACACTTGTGCACAAGGGGTCTGATCCTGCACAATTATAATCAATGGGAGTTTTGTCACTCACTTCAATGGGTGCAAGATGAGACCCTAATGGTCTAACATTGTTCTCAGAGAGGTCAACAGCAAAACTTCTGTTGGGGAGAATTTGTCTGTAACTGACAAAAGTGCACACAAATAAACACATGCACACACAGTACATGTTAATGGAAGCTCATTATAGATATAAATAAGAACATGCACATACACAATGCATTTTGGACATCTGATAGACTGTCTCCTTAGCATTTTATTCTAGCTTGAAGGTGGGTAATATATGTTTTAGGTCCATGGACATAGTTAAACAAGGCACATTTTGCTATTTGCTCTGTGAACTCTAAAGTTTAAATGGAACAATGTCTTTTTATGGGCCTTCCAATCATCGCTCATATTATAAAGGTCAAACATTTCACATTGTGACAGAAAATCAATAACTCTTCCAACAGCCACTGGGGGCAAAAAGTTTTGCTTCTAAAGAATAATGTGTAATAAACAATTTTAGACCTTACTTTATCATTGCTGCAATCTCAGAGAACAGCTAGAGTAAAAAGCCGGTAATTCCTGATATATAAACTCATTAAAATTAGGAAGTGATTTAGAATTGAACTTTAAAAAGATGCATCTTGGGCTAAGCAGCAAAAAGGTTAGATTA